TTGACAGTATTACCTGTGGCGATGATCCGGATATCAAGTGTGGCAAACCAGCCCCGGACATATTTCTTGCAGCCAATAAGAAAATTGGAAATCCGCCTGTTGAACAATGTTTGGTATTTGAGGATGCAATTAATGGAATCAAAGCAGCAAAAAATGCAGGAATGAATGTAGGTTTAAAAATCATAAATTAAACCAAATAAAAACAAAATGACTATATTATATTTAAACAAATTAGGTTGTTTGGGTAGCACATAAAGGATTGGCAGCAGTATGTCCAGGTGATAATGGAGCGGATGAAAAGATGTTTTCACTGGAAGACTTTAATCCAGAGAAATATGGATTACCACCTTTTGATGACAGTTTATGAATTTGTAACAAAATTAATTATTCAAAGGATATTTAATATAAGAGCTGCCAAGAAAAAATAAAAATAAAAAAATAAAAAAACTGACTACCGGTAAAATCGTTTCTGAAGTTATATCTATGAAATAAATCACTTGGGAATACTCCCTCATATAGTTGTCAGCACATACAGTAAAATATCCCGTAACATAAATAAATTTTATTAATACCACTAATAATAATAACATTGTTATTACTATTATTATTTCGCTCAAATTTGTTCAAATTTGCCTTTCTAGAAATTAAATGCATACGTATTCTTTTTTGCTTGTCTAACTTAATTTGTATTAATTTGTAAATTTTCAATTGTTACATTACAAACCTATTTTTAGACAGGATAAAAATAGATAATCAAATGGCTACGTATACGATGAGAAACCTGATAACTAAGGAATTAGAAAGGAGATTGTACGTCTTGTTAATAACGAGGCTCCTTACCGTTAATTTTGCATATACAAACGAATACGGAAAATGAGAAACACTGCCACACAATCATTTAGAACTATTGTAATTAATCAAGATTAAGCGCCAAAATGATAATGTTTTAACACAATCATATGATCATATCAATTCAACCGTATTACTTTAGGAGACTACATCTTCGTGATCTTTTGATTCATGAATGATTTCATCAGAAGGTTTGATTTCATGAACGACATGCGCAAAAATAAATTTGTCAAAAAAATTGGACAGGAATAATAATGAATAAAACACGCGGCACTCTTCTATTGTTACGCAAGTTCACGTGAGATTATTCGCATGTTAAATGTCACATATCTTTCGCGTCATTAACAAGTAAATCCTACCGATTCTCGAATTCATATTCTAAGAAAGAAGGGTTAAGATTACTGTTTCAAAGTTTACTTTTCTGAACAACATTTGGATAAATTTACAAAAAGATAGGAAATGTGGTAACACTGAAGACGAAACCGACAGTCTTTTTGTTTATTTATTATGAAATGCGAGACTGTATGACAATTGTATGACCAGTTGCTCTCGCTGATATCGGAATAAGGATAACTCTCCGTGATAATGTAGATGGTGACTTGAAGCTGCTGTAAACTGTGTATAAATTATTTTCAATTGTGTAATGTGAATTCGATTCTACAATTTACATTAACTGAAGACCGGGAATACAGGTTGTGCTGTATAAAGATCAAGTTTCTATAAATAACGGTGGGCACAGAGAGGGGGTATTCGATCAACTTCGAATTTTGGTTCTCTTATTCTTCCCTTTTCTTTTTCTCTTTTCTTTTATTATTTCTTTTAAATTTAATTATTCTATTCGACATTATAAAACATCGGGTTTTACTCGAATTTCAACACAAGTTTTTATTAGTATTTTTTTTTTTCTTTTTATATAAACCAACTTTTTGTTTCACGAAAAGACATTAACGCTTGTCGATATCCTGCAGCTGTTATTGTAGCCACTTAGGTGCGGGAAACCCTGATATTTGTAATACCTTTATACCTCCCCGAATAACTAATCATAACTTTACCTTCTTTTCAGCTTGACAAATACATACTACTATTTCTGCAACATCAAACTTTCAAGCATGCGCACAGGTGGACTTTTTCGAAGGAATACTGTTGTTACTCCTAAACGCGATGACGATTTTGGGGATTACGCGACTGTTATTAGCTCGGAGGTAAACATTATCTTTTAATATATCTTACTTTTTTTCATATTTTGATCAGTTTATACTACATTTTGATACTGACCTGTCTTCTTCTTTGTATATACATATCAAAAAAAGGACGATCCAAAAAGACTTAAGGAATACATTACCAGGCTTTATAAGTCTCTAAAGGAAAAGGTGAGTGACAGATATTTTCTACTGTGTTATCTTTTGCAATGTTTTTGTCCTGCGTAAGATTTTGGATAAATTTTTTATTCGGATCGGAAATAATTTTTTCCTTTAATAGAGCAAAAGTCTTAGGTCGGCTTATACAAAGCTCGATTTGTTGAATAGTGAAATTAATCAAGAGAAGACAAGGTTGGTAGACATTGAAGATGAAAAACAAGTCACTTCGAGGTATGCGCTCTTTTGCCTTATTAAATATATTAAAAGTATTAATTAAAGCATTTACTATAATTTTTCGTAAATATTAACTTATGCAGATCAAATGCAAGGAATGGCAGATCAATTGGCGTCCAAGGAAGAATTATTTTGTCAATGGCAAGCAAAGGTGTGAAAATTTTTATGAACGGTTAGTGAATTATGGAAATCAATTAAGACATTTAATTATAAAATTTTTTTTCCCTTAGTTGGTTGAACAGACACAAAAAGAACGCGATGTTATAATTGAAGAGATGGATGAAGAACGCGCGCAATTCAAAGAACGAATCAATCAGCTTGAAGATGCTTTAAATCTTGCTAATGTAGAAATTACAAGATTAACTATCGAGATGACTGATCTAACCAATTCACAAAAAAAGAGGATGTCAACAACTAGTACGACGGATGAGAATAGATCTTCCTTGGATATACTATTTAATAGCAATGTTTGTTTCCGATTCATAAATTCACATAATCTTTATAGTGTATGCACTAAACTGCAATCTTTAAATTTACTAGAAAAATAAAGAGGATGATCGATACGAACTCACGAAGCAAATCTTAGAGATCACACAACGAAGGATAAGTTTACAAACGGAGCTTACATTATTAGAAGATCAGTATGATGATTTAAAGGTAAATAGGGTACTAAATATCAAAGATCATATACGAAATTCTTATGTGGGTACTTTTTTTATTTATATTGATGTAATTTCTTTTTTTGACGATTGAAAATTAAAAAGATTCAATCAAATCAACTCTCGAAGGAGAACCAACTACTCCGACAAGAAAACGACTCCCTCAAGCAACAGATCGGAAAAAAAATGTTTATGAGATCTCTAGAAGATGTTAATTTGAACGAATAAAATTTACATGTTTTGAGTGATGTGGGACTTTTCTTGCTTGTCAAGAAAAAAGATTTTTTTGACTTGCGTAATATGCGGGTCATTGAAAAGTTTCACAAAATATTCTAAATACTTTGAATGCCACAAACTATAGATTATAGTTTAAATTATTTATAGCTCAAATATATAGCTAATCGGGTATTGATTTATCTGAAAAATTTCACATAGCTCATCCTTTGTACTCTGTAAATAGTCAAAGTTGAAGCAATTCGGGGTTAATTGATTGTAGTTTCATAAATTAGGTGATCGTTTTGTATACCTTTTTTTTTTTGTATTATGCTGATTTGTTAATTCTATTGAAAATAAATCAAGTAGGTTTAATTATGCTATCTAATAATGCAAGTTTCACACCGAAAGTTATTTAAACTCTTTTTTGTTTTTTCTTATATTAAAGAATGCTATATTGGTTGGTGTATGCATCAAATAAATCAGTTGTTATTTGTTAACTGATTTTAGGTAATATGATAAACTATATATTTACATAAAGAAGGGATCTGTATTAATGATAAGCATTAAACATTTTGATATTATACGTTGCAGCACGAAAGTAATTGAAAATTACCAAAAACAGGCACGTTAACTCAATTTACGTACTTACGCATTTCTAGTTGAATTTAAGACATGCAAAAGCTTTCTCCATTTGCTCTTTACTTCATCTTTCGTGGTAATACAGAATACAAAATATTAGATGCACTATCACTATTAATTCTGATGTTTTAAGGATATAGCGCAGCAGCAGCATGATGATCCGGAGACAATATTAAAAGATATTCCGAAATTTATCACACTACCATACTAAATCCATGAATGGCTAAAACTCTATTTCGAATCTCGATGAACCTTGATTGTGTTAACACTATCAATCTCTCATTTATCAAAATGGATAAATGAATTGAATAAGACCATGAAAATGTTCTAGTATCGATCAGCTAGGACTTGGTCGATTCGCGCCTTGCATAACGGCATAATATATAAAGAAATTGTATGAAATGGCGTGGGTATCATTTCTTTTATTTTTAACAAATTTAGATTATCAAATATTGCACGAGAAGTGGCGTCAAAAAAACAATTCGAAAATGGTTTTTTTGTCACTTAGTGCTTAACAAATATGTATGTGACATATCAAATATACACATGCCGGATGGATTGTAACACATCATTAATAATCTATACTAGATATTTCTATATTATCAATTCCTACATATAATAATTAAACCACTTACCACCGATATTTTGTATATTACCATACCATGAGTATGTTTTCTAAGTGTAAGCCTCGTCTTGGATTACTACTTTAGACCTAAACATCTAATGTGACCATGTTAAACATCTTTAGATTTGATCTTTCTTTTTTCTCTTTTTACCATATTTTTTACTCCAAATAAACTAAGGATTTTATAATTTATTGCACGGTGCAATACATTGCACCCCCTATAAAACTTAGGGTTAGTGTTAGGGTTAGTATTAGGGTTAGTGGTAGGGTTAGTGTTAGTGTTAGGGTTAGGGTTTGGGTTAGGTAAAATTGTGAGAGGAGCATTTTTATTTAGTTACATAACAGGGTTACCCTAGTAAAATTTTGAGATATAGCAAATTTTAAGTAAAGTTACGATTAGTTAGGGTTAGGGTTAGGGTTTAGGTTAGGGTTAGGTAAAATAGTGTAGCGATTATTTTTTGTTAGTCACATAACAGGGGTTACCCTAGTAAAATTTTGAGATATAGCTAGGGTACAATACATTGCAGATACAATAAATTATAAAACCCATAAACTAATTAAAAAAAAATGCGCAGCAAATCCTCAATTTTGATTGGCTAAGAGCGAAGATCAAAAATTAGGCCGGGATTACTCATAATTTTACTAATAAAATCGCAGCCACCTATTAAGTGAAAATTGTTCCTGGGCCAATTTTATCATAATGCAAGTTATTTTTTATTTTTGTAATAAAAAAATCAAAATTAAACAATTATGTAATGTGTGTCAAAATTTTAAAAATCCTTGGCTATTAGCCAATCAAAATCGAGAATCTGCCACACATTTTTTGTACTACACCTAGGTTTAATTGTAAACTATAAAAAAAGATTTAAAAAATCATTTACTATTTTTTTTTTTATATGATTACTTAGGCTCTTGGCACTTAATTAGTTTAAACAGATAAGCTATTGTTAACAACACTAGCTTTACATGTTATATTGGTATCATGAGGGTACAACTACTGTAGTTACTAGGCCTTCGCATGGGCCAGGTAGGGCCGGGTAATGGCAATACCTTAGCTCTACTCATCTGTAAGAGTTTAACTTCTAAGTTTTTATTCTACTCTAGAGCTCAAAACTTGATACTCTAGCTCAGCCCACAAAGCTTGCAGATATCTGTGAGCAGGATTGGCACATTTGTCTATTGGTACCAATAAACTCCAGGTCCATTGACTAGATCCATTGGTTCCATTGGCTAATCTCTAGACCCAATAGACAAGTATATTAAATAACTATATACATATAAATTAATAAATATTGTAATATAAGTAACCTATATCAGTTAATTATATCACTTGACTTAACATGTAGAGGGCAAGGAATATGTAGGAGGGCAAAAATAAACTGATATAAGAACTAAAACAAAATACAGGATAAAACACAAGAAACCTAAAAGAGGAGACTCAAGAATGATAATAAAGTAGTATAACTAAAATACAATAAAAAAAGCTTTCACAATGTAATAGGTAAAGAATAAAACTAAACAAAAATATAACCAAAATACTATAAAGAAGGCCTTCACAACATAGTAGGTAAAGGATAAAACAAACTAAAATATAATAAAAACACAATAAAAGAAAGCCTTTACAATATAATAGGTGAAGAATAAAAACAAAACCAAAAGGGTTAGAGTACTGTAGTCTAGTGATCTAAGCACCTAATCCTTCACAGACAAGGTCAATGGTTCAATTATAGCTGGTGGTAATTAATTTAATTAATTATCTCTGTAACTTTCGGAGGCTTTTAAATGCGAAACCCTGTGGCGGTAAGACTATGTGAGGTACATATTTGGCCAATAAAGAATTCTTGGAAGGAGTCCCGAGCCATGGAGAAGATCAGGCACTATATATAACATGGATCACAGAAAGTAATATTGCAGAAGGCTGTGCGTGTGAATTCACGATTGGCAAGGTAGCACCAATAACCTTAAGGCAGTATTGGGATCTTGATTAGGAGGATAGCTGTATGTAATATATCCAGAAGTGGTGAGAGAAGCGGTAAATATAGTAAGGGGCTGTGGTAAGAGAATGGCTTTACCAAATATGAAACACCTCTGGCACAAGAAAACAAGAAAAACCAGTTAAAAGAAATCCTGAAGCATGGAAGCAAGTGCTCCGGTGGTACAAAAATAAAGTTGGCCAGTGAGTAATGTGTCGCACAACCTATATGAGAGTCGTGAAAGCATGACGAAACATAACAGAAGCGCAGGTCCTGGGTTACTGGCTTGTGACAGTAATTAAATGAGGTACTTAACTCCCATTCTAAGGATCTAGACTTCTATAACACCATACCGATAGAGAGTACTATAAATGGAGCGGTAGTCTAATTTGGTGGTGTACGACATGAATACCTGAAACTATGTGAACAGCTCTCCTAATAGCGGTAGCAGGTGGCTTGAGATATGGGTCTTTGGACGGTGGCAGCACCTGGCTTGAAATACGGATTAGGAACTGAAATAACATCTCAAGGGACACCAAACTGGAAGCATGAAGAGCACCCACTCCTAGAACACCAATTTGGAAGTTATACAAGAAACGAATTAGGAGTAATGTGATAAGTGTTAAGGGGTAGATTATAACTAGTAGACGTTGTACAGTAGTATATATAGCGGGGTATATATGAATTAGTAAATACATTAAGGTTCTGAATTAGGTCAGAACTTAGGGTGCTTCTTGATAGAGATACCCGAGGATGTCTATCTCATATGTGAGATGGTGCAGATGATTGCATCTGGGTGCCATATAGGGTAGCCAGGTAAGGTCATAACGACTACTTAGATAGGTTAAAAGTATATGTAAAATATATGTAATGTTCGTTTAAATAAGTAATAAAGTTAATGACAAAATCGTCAAAGTTGGGAAAAAAAAAAAAAACCAAAACCAAAACAAAACAAAAATATAAAACAAATACAATAAGAGAAACCTTCACAATATAATAGATAAAGGATAAAAACAAAACTAAAACTAAACAAAAATATAATAAAAACACAATGAAAAAAGCCTTTACAACATAAAAAGTAAAAAATAAAAGATATACACAATGTAGTGGGTGTATAGCCAAAAATGAGTATCAGTTTATTAGATAAAGAACAGGACTTGGAAGTAGAAATCTAAGCTAAAGAAAGGGCTTTAAGATAAAAAGGAACTTTTAATAAAAGCTTAGATAGAAGAATCTAACCTACCTTGGAGAAAAAAGCAGGGTTTATATAGCTTTTTGACATGCTAAAAATGTGTCATTGTTACTTTAAAAATATATCAAGGTATTATATATCAAGCTATATAATAAGATACTATAGTAAAGTACTATGATAAGATACTATAGTAAGGTACTATGGTAAGTAGTCATTTTAATCCAAACTTTTTTTTTTAGTTACAGTGTTTCTACTTAGTTTGGGTTTGAAATTTGGAATTTCTACATAGTTTCGACCTAAAACCCAAACCCAAATAAACATCCCAAATTAATAATTAGTGTCAAACTTAAAAACTAATTAAATTTATTATATTAATTATAAATATTACTTTAAAATTCTATAAATCTTATATTATAAAATATAATAAATAAATAAATACTGTATATATATACATATATATATATATACTATATATATAGTAATTTATAACTTTCTTTTTCAGTATAGTTAATTATCTAACTAAATTATATTATAATTGCTATAAGAATTATATAATATTTGAAGTGTGAT